CACACACACACACACACACACACACACACACACACACACACACACACACATACACACACACACACACACGCGCACACATACACACACACACACATGTAAATAAAAAGTTTGCAAGGACACTACTGCTTTGGAATTCAGCAAACTTTGGGGGCTATTTTTTCGCTGAATTTACCTCTGACGACAGGCGACCCTCACCTCCTTCAATAGCAAATATGTCTGACATGTACTTCAATTCAAGATAAATTGACATTTGTTTTCATCAAAAGCAGGACAAATAAACAAGCGTAAAGATAGCATCATTGACTCCACATGCCCAAACATTGTCGAGTGCCTGATGATACCATCGCGTTGCGACACATAATGATAACGAGCAATGAAAATACAGCTCATATTGTTTTTATCTTGTAGATTAATAATTAATTTTATTGTGCTAGATACTACCAGTGAGGCAGCGTTGTGAAATCAGACGCTCGACAAAATGATTCGATTGAAGAAGTCGGCAATTTTTCGCCGGTTTGGCAATTTGTACCGAATTTTAGTTATTTGGCTCAACATCTTTTATGTTCACATTTCTGTGAGGACTTTACTGAAAGACGTTGATTAAAGGCACAAATAAGTAAAATTTCAGTTACCACTGATTCTGAAGCTATGAAAATAACCAAACTTTTGCAGCCATTTTCTCTCTAATTTTATCTCCGAATCCCGTCGACTCCCACCTCTTTGAATCGCAAATATCTTGACTTGTAAACATAACAGATGGGTAGATAGCAAGACAAATGAACACGCATTAAAAGGATACCAATAACTTCACTGCCCAAAACTTGACGAGTGTCTGATTCCACCGCGTCGTGACACCCAGCAGGTCACAATATGGCACTGTGGATTCCTGGATTGTCTCAGTCTGTGAGCAACAGGGTGAAAGGTGTCCACTTGAAGGATCGGATGTTATTTCTTTTCAATATTCCATCTGAGCCCAACAGACTGAGAGAGAGAGAGAGAGAGAGAGAGAGAGAGAGAGAGAGAGAGCTAGCTGGGGGGATCTCTCAAATGCGTGGCCAGCCCGCTGAAACTGGTGTGGGTTTCTGCTAAGATGGAGGGCATCCGCTTCCTCATACATGTATCAAGCAAATCTTGGTTTTAGTCCTTTTATGGGGACGCAATTTCGTCTTCTGTGCCAAATGTGGCATATTTCGTCAAAATCTGGATTTCAACCCCGATACCATTTCAAACTTCCTAACTTAAAATTTCAAGTGGGCTCGCCCAGAGGAAAACGCCATGAGAAGCTAATGTAACAATATACATGCAGTTTTGTTTGGTTGAAGTTAATATATTACAATTTAAATAAATTCAAAATACGGGCGTCGACCCTGCCTGTGAGGACCAATCAGGACACAACGTCCTCGTAGAAAGACCGAAATGTTCTCCCCAAACGGGAATCGAACTCAGGTCTTCTCCTTGCGACAACGAAGCACCTAACCTTCTGCACCACAAACGCCAGTGTTTCCCCTCATGTACCCGACTGTGACCTTGATTTTGTGAGGAGACGACTGCCCGAGAGCTTGGACAGGACAAGAAAATACAGTAATATTTTGTAATAGTGTACATCCATAATATGCAACCCTTTGCATGTCTGGTTCGGTTGCATTCATTTTTTCCTTTTTCAATTTTTAAAATGTTTAATTTTGTAGGGAACGAGTGTTTTTGTCACTTAAATTAAGCGTCAGTTTTACGGTACTGAAATACCATTGAGCCCATGGCTAGCAATTAATGGATTGACCCGTCGACTTTGTAATAGTACCGGCTGGAGCGTTTCACTAAATAGCAGTCTAATAAATGAGGCATTTTAAAAATCAACATTTGACGGGACTAGCTTAAGGCTTATTGAAGGGAAACTCGAGTGATCTATTCAGCATTTGTATTAACAAAACATAAAAGAAAAGTACGCCTTCATTCGTACCCACGCAAAAACTCAAGCAAGCGAAGAGATTAATCACATCAAATAAATTGGCTGGCGTCCATCAGAGTATGTTGATGAGCTATGCTGTTTGTGTTTTTTCCCCTGAAATAGCCTATTCCATTGCTATCTAAAAAAATAATAATACGTGTTCGTATGTGTGTGAGTTTAAGTAAAGAGAAGGGCATCAACACAATTACGGTCATTTAGTGCAGGGGAAATGTAGGCTACATGTAGTAGAAAAGAAGTGGGACTCTTCCAGTAGATCTAGTGCTCTTACTTCGACTACCTGCATAAAACAGGCTATAGTTCAACAAGAACGACGACACGTTAAATGAAACTTACAGCCCATCTCCATTGTTCAGAGAAGGGAAAACATTAAAAGCGAGTTGGCTTTTCGACAGCCAGTGACGCGATTTGAGAGTCGGATTTCAGATTGCAACTAAATGGGTATTTTATCGTTAAAAGCGAAAGACCCCCAGGGCAACTTAGTAAAAAATCGATAGACAGACAAACAAGTGACAACTCTGTTTGGTTGCTTTTGTTTGGTTTTAATCATTTTTTGGGGCGGGG